ATATTGAACTCATTAAACTATATACAAGTGTAAAGTATAGTGCACAAATTGGCTTGTATAGTAGTTGTATGATTGTATCTGGAGTAAATGGTCTATGGGATGAGGTATGTCCTAATTGCTAGTTCTAAAGGATTGACGTCATCCTTGCAAGAGAAAAGATCAAAAGAGTACACGAAAGCTTACTAAAATTTTCTTTAAAAAAAGAAAAGAAAGGTACTACTACTGAGTACTGGCTAATTAATCTTCAAAGTTTGAAAGAAAAGCAAGGTACTATTACTGGCTAATCTTCAAGATTACCCTTAAGATGATTGGTATGGATTTGCCACTTCAGCACCTGACATGGCAATAACGTTTACTACTGTAGGCTCCATGTTTACACACCCCTTTGCCGCATTCGACATAGGGAAGGATCACACAACTCAAACACCCGTCGCTATTGTTTTGCCCATTAAAGCAATTCCCTTCAACTGGAGGTGGAGGGGTTCATTTTTTAAACACACCTCTAACACCGGTAAGCCTCTTGTGCTCAAGAGGATGGGGAGAAGGAGTAAAAGTGAAAATAAAATCATATTTTGAGCAGATGGGGCCAGTCCAAAATTGTATCAATTTTAGTTCAAACGGGAAGGTAGGGTTTCAAGTCGAGTTGCTCGATTTGAAGAATTTCAACCACATAAGACTCGAGCTAGGTTTTGTATCTATTGAGAATTTAACAAACTCTTAATCCAATGTAACTAAAATTGCACTCCTATTGGAAGGAACTAGTGTGATGAGTGGAAACTTTTGTCTCCTTGGAATCATTCAAAATACCTAATTGATAGACATATAATGAGAGCATTGCATTTTACACAAGATACTCTGTAGATCATTGAAGTTGCTCTTTTTCTTCTTCAATCTCCCTATTCACCATGATGGCAATCAAGTTGCTCTTCTTCTTCTTTGGTGCTTTTACGTGTTAAGAGAATTTATACCCATGCAGGTTTGATATGCTCTCTCCTTTCGTACACCTGTATTATTGTTGGAAGATTTGGTGCCTACGGACTAATAATAAAAAGACAAAATGGATGAACGCCATTTCTAGTTAGGCAAATTTGTCCTATGCAACAAATTAAAAAAAAAAATCAATCATGGTTCAAAGTATCAGAAACGCAAGGTATATTGAAAATACAATTTTAAGAGATGTGTCGAGATATGTTTTGGATATGCATAGATACTGATGAAAAATTAAGATACGTATAAATATGTTAGGAAATTCAAATATATCCTAAAAATATATTACTAACAATAATTATAAGTTTTAGATGATTTTAAATAAGTTATTTAAATGTAAAAGTCCATATTTACAATCATTTAATTGTAAATAATTATAATTAATAACTGTTGAAAAATGATGGAATAAATAAAATGTGAGAAAACAAAAAAAAAACTAAAATATGAATGTGTATACATAAATTTTCAAATAACCAGTATAATTTTATGTATGTACATCAATTTATATTAATATTTATTGGCATATAAATTTTAATAATTAATTTTAACATTTATTAATAAATATCCATTAAACAAAGGGAAACTTTACTTTAAAATAATAATGCATATGACCATAGCAAACAATTGTTTAAGTCGTAGTTTTTATACTAAAAAAATGAAATTAATGAGACATGATAATTAATTAGTGGAATTAATGAGGGAGTATCCTTAATTAGTGGAATTAATAAAAGAGAATATAATTCAAATTAGGTGCTAAAATTCAAATTTAAATTTAAAGTAGGAGTAACTGATTAATTAATGAAAGGGAAGTTAGAATTAAATATAGAATTAGAAGTAATTAAAGAGATTAATGAATGAAGGGCACCCAAAAATAATCAAGTGTATTAGGTTGTATCAGATTGTTTCGAGCCCATATAGGCCATTATAGAGATGAAACAACCCAATTCGAGCCTGTATTGGTGCGATATATACGAAAAGAAACAGAACGGATGGTTTCTACACGTTTTGTGTATCAGGCTCTTGTCAGAATGATACATATCAGTCGATACGACCCGATACGTTGTGAAATTTTGAACCTTGAATAAAATACATGGTACACAACCCGATAGACATAAAAAGGGGAAGGCATAATCTCTCTCTACCACAATGGAGAGAATAGTAAATCAATGTTTTAAACACCAATCCGGAGGCCAAACCGTTTTTGCCTCCAAGTAGCGGTTCACTAGTTCGATCGTTCCACTTGTATTTAAAGTATTGTGTGTGTATGTATAATATGTGTATAAATATATATGTTATTAATAAATAATGTATAAATATGTTTTAGATATGTTATATGTATTTTTGTATTTAATTTTTTATTTATAAAAAATAAAAAAATTACTCAAAATAAAATAATCACCTCAATCGGATATCAGAGTGCAAAGTTATGGCCTCCGAAAGTTTACATGCATTGAGTGTGCAACCCTGTGATCCGGTCACTGGGTCGAATGGGTCACTGGTTGAACCGACTAGGTCGGACGATTCTTGACCAAATCAACAATTTTGGCCGTCTAGCAGGTCTTGAGTAAACCAGACCTAGAATCTTGATGGGGTGACAGTTCAAACGGTTCAACCGGTTGAGTCAATGGCGGGTTGAAAACATTGTAGTAAATCCATTCTTATCAAACATGAGATGATGATAATAGTAAATGGCATGTTTTTCGAACCACCATTGATCCGGACGGTTAGACCATTTGAACAGGGAACCGTCTAGGAAATTGGTTCCGTTTTACCCCAAACTTGGTCCTTGGCCAAAAACCGTTGAATCAGTCAATGGCTCGTTGACTTGGGTGGCTGAATCGCCGACCTGTTAAACGATTTTTGGCCATTTTTTATTTAAATTATTTTTTTTAAATTTTTATTTTTTTATTAGAACAAGCTGTCCGATTGAACTAGATGGTCGAACCACCGACTTAAAAACCGGTGCCCATAATAATTCTGGTTCCGAGTCATTTTTTAAATCATTGGTAAATGGTTAAATACATTCTTATCAAACACTAGCAATACTGAACCAAAGTGAAAATATACACTAAATGGACATTTGCACTCTTTTCAAACTGAGCTAAAGGTACAAATACAAATAATATACATTGCAAATGCATACTAAATAATACGAAATACATGGATTTGCACTCTACCATATTGTGTCACAGGCAGAACAATGGCAAAGCCCATAAAAACATCAAAAGGCAGAAAAACTTTGGCTGTTGGGCCCAACAGCCTTTCCTATTGAGAGAGTTATTGGCTTGAGCATGTTAGCATGAGAGTGGGCAAATTAATAACTGCATTTTAATTATTTTTTTGACAAAAAAACCAAAGCATGCATGTGAATTGGTGAAGCCCAACCCAGGAACTCTTTCAACAGCTGTTGGCCCCAACAGACAAAGTTAACCCAATCGCTCCCTATTTCTCTTTAACCATAAACATAGACACGTGGACGTAAATTGGTAACATGTCCAATCTAAAACCGCTCTCATCCCCAATAGCCCAAGTTAACTCACAAAAGGCATCGGTCAAACAGTCAAAAAGGTCGACAAGTTACTATGTGATTCCCATTTGCGACCGAGGAGGCCATCCACGTGGTGCCCCTTCCATTTTCTACTTCTTATTTCCATATTTTTCTTTTAATTATCGTCTACCCTTGGTCCCTTGTATTATTGATCGATTTGGCCAGTTTATTAAATGGGCCTGATACCAGCTGTGTTTGGTTTGATAGAATGGGAGTGAAAGGAGTAGGGTTCGGGTGGCAATATTAGGCCCAGTCCATGACTACCAATTTACATCTCTTCCACATATCAGTCACCACCTGCAATTAGTGCTGCACTTGTAATATGTGTGTATGTTAGATAATATTAGTAATATATCTACCTATATAAACCTAACATATATATTTACCATTAATATTATTTTTTTGAAAGCTTTCAGAAAAATCAATAAGATTGATAATATATTTTTTTTAAAGCTAGGAAGTTCAAGAAAGTAATTTTTGATATATTCTATCATTAATTTATTTTTAACAAAAAATAGTATTTTAGTTTTTTTAATTTAATTTATTAATGATATGTGGGGGTGATCACGGTTTGGTTAACCAAATTGTGAGCAATTTTTGAAATTGAACCAGTCCTGCTGATTTTTTTGCAGTTCTTCAAACCAAAACCAAATTAGTACCACTGGTTAATTGGTTGACTTGTTTCAATTTTTATCAATTCGATTCATCAATTTTTTTTATATTTATAATATATATTATATTATAAATAATAAGTGATATATAATATATGCTAATGTATTATATATTATAAATATAATATATGTATATATTTTTATGTATAATGCATATATATTTATATATAGATAATATGTAATATATATTAAAAATATATAGTATACATATAAATATATTTACCAGTTGGTTCGGTCGATTTATTTTGATTTATTTTATAGGTTAACTGAAAATTGAATTGGTCCTTTGGTTTTTCAGAAATACTGAACCACAATCGAACCGATTGGTTCAATTAACCACATTTTTGGTTTGATTTAGTTTTTTGGTTTTTGGATTTTTTATGAACATCCTTAATGATATTGCTGACATCATAAAAGTAGGAATCAATCAGGTGGTTTTTCACCAAAATTCACGAGGGGTTGTAATTGGTCAAAGCCTTTTTGATATAATGTCTTTCTCGCATCATAATTTTTTTTAGAGGTTTGAAGGAAAAAATAGGAAAAGATAGGAATTCATACAAGGTTGGTACAAGTTTTCCTACCTTTTTCCTTCAAACCAAACATACCTAATGACATATAATAACCTATTCAAAAGAAATATGATTAAAAAATCCGACGGGCAAGATTTGACTCGAATTGGAATATTAATAGAATCGAATTCAAAACTAGGGCATGTGATCCGAATCCGAACTGTTTATATGGCCCTACCTCCACTTCGATATGCAGCTCATAGCTTGCGGGTTGCGACTTGGGACTTGCGACCTTTGTTCTCATTTGCTATTTATATTTGAAGTTCGTACTTCGAACATTCCAGTCCCGCCCTATGCTATAAAGCTTTATGAACCACAAATCACAGAAATAAAGGAATCATCAAATTTGAAGCGCTTCGAAGTCTGTTAATAGAGTCATAGGGAAGGAAGGGGGCAACATGGCATCTCTGAGGCGGCTTATGAAACCAGGCCAGGCATGGTGGACGATCAACTCCCTTAAATCCCTAACCTCTTCGTCTCCTGCAACTCGAAACTCTCTACACCGACAATACCGTTGTAAGTATTGGAAATCTTGTTACTTTTTCCCCGGCGGGATGAATCTAAGAACAAGAGTTTCTACATGATTTTTGTTTTGGTCAATCGAAGTTGTCGGTTATGTCTCATCTCACATGATCCATAATCCATTTTCTTTTTTGAGTTGGGGAGGAAAATAGAAAAAAAAAGAGAAAAGAGGACCTTTTTGGAAACACTTCGTTGTTTTATATATTTTGCCTGGGAATTAATGCGTATACAATAATCTTGGTTACATTAACTGCATTTTACTGTATTTTCACCTGAGAGTGGTGTTTTGGGAATGGGATGCATTACTAAATTGAATTACTATTGCAGACTATTGCAGACATATTGATGTTTTAGGCTCATTGAGGTCATTATTAGTTGTAGTATGCTTGGAGAGAAAGTCATAACTTAGTAAGTTCATAATAGAATGGTTGGAATTGTATGCTTTGGTACCGTGTTGCCAAGATTAAGAGCCACACTTCGGAAGGTACTGCACTAAATGATCATTACATTTAAGATACTGAGATGTTACAACGCAAGAATTGCCATGTAAAATTTGGCACTAAAAGGTGACAATTGTGAAGAAGATCATGAGGGGAACTTGAGTTAGACACCAGCACAAGAATTTCCATGTAAAATTTGGCACTAAAAGAATCAAGAGTAGGTGGATGGGAGGCCTGAGCAAAAGGGACAAGGTGGTGTGGGGTATTCTTCCTATGGCTCTATTTAGGCGTGTATGGGAGAGAGGAATGACCGGACTTTTGAGAGCAGTTTCTGAGAAGATCAAGAAGTTTTGGGCTACATTGAAAGGAAATTTTGCTTGTGGCTGTCAGTACATAGGGATTTCAGGAACTTAGACTATTCCAGATTTTTTGATAGGGACATTTTGTTTATATGTCAACTTCTTTCTAACTGTTTTCATATGGTCCCATTGTGATGTGGTTGTGTATAGCTTTAGGTTGTAACCCTTTGTTCATAACACTATTCAATATGTTACCTTTTTTTTTGAAAAAAAACCCCAACAATTATAGTATGATGAAAAGTAAAAAAAGAAACAATAGTTACAGTATCAATTGCTTACCTTCATTTTTTCTTATTTCTTATTCCTTATTTCATTTTAATAATTATTGCCTCTTCGGAAATACTGCTCGAGCTTTAAAGTTTCATAATAATTATTCAATATTAGTTGAGTACATTCTCTTTACACTTGTAAGTTTGTGCAAGTTGATGTGCTTCTGAGATGGATTAATTATATTCTCTATTGACTCATGCAGGGCCTTTTGAATACTTCATCCATCCCAAAACATCTGAAGGACCACGTTTTAAATCAACATGTGAGTTTCATGGATTCCTTTCAATATTGCCAGCTGTCCTAGTTGGTATCCTTGGAGTGGGATTGCAAGAAACTCATGCTGATGCCAATCAGGTTTGCATGGTGTTATTTCTAGGAAGTAGTTTTGTGTAATGTTGAATTTATTGTATCATTCTTGTCTTTAGTTTTTCAGTTCATTATATTATCTTTCTAGTTTTGTCCTTTCTTTTTCATTGATAATACAGGTAACTTATTAGTTTAATACCAATATTTCCTTGAATCATGGATTGTATGAATTGTATGCAACATGTATTCTCATTATGTGTTTATTTTAAGCTGATTTTATTGTTGACTTAGTTTTCTCTAGGTGGATTCTAAAGCTCCTTCATCCTCACAAGCTCCATCTACCTATGCTGATTCAGAGAAATTTATTAAGCAAGAGAGGAGTCGGCTAGAGGAATTGCTCAGAAGTAAAGGAATGCATTATGGCTCTTATCCTCCATTTACTGTTGCTGTGAAAGGAGAAAAGGTAGCATTGTGAAGCATGACTCATGAATTACCCAGTAACTTGCTTTTGATTCTGCTCCATCTCAGAATGCCAAAATATATTGGTTGGAAATGTTTCACTTGGCAAGCATTTCCTGGAAAGTGGAAATTAGGGCTTATTTTTCTTTGTTTTGATCACATGAAAAGCCATTGGAGAAAGCAGAAATGCTTGAGAATGAGAACAATGAAAGTAAAAATCCATACAAATACAATGCTTTGCAAGTTTCATATCTTTCTATAGTTTTATGGTGTTCTGTAGAATTTGCATATAGCCCATTGTGAGTGGAAAGAAAAAGATAAGAAGAAAGCTAAGTTAGTCATAGGGTTGAACCATTTAAGGAATTAAGGTGTAAGAAAGTGCATGCATTTTTTATTTTGATCAATGTGAAAGAAAGTGTATGCTGAGATTTAGAAGTTGTATAATAGCTATTAAGCAATCTTGAAAATGGTTGGATAGTTTTGAATTGAATCAAGGGTGTTGATACACTTTTACTCCATAGTTAACTTCACAAATATTGTTCTGCTTTATTTTGAAATTCCATGGGAGGTAAACCTTTGTTCCAGCAATTGCTTGTTCCTTGCTATGAAGTAATTATCAGGCTGTATATGTTGGAAAAAAGGTTTACTATTCATTTATAGGAGCCAGCTGCCAGGAGGCCTCTGGATATTGATGGGGGAGGGGGGGAGCTGGATCTGCCACACTTTTTCCCTTCCCTAGTCAACATCAGCTCTATATTCTATACTCCATCTTGTATTGGACTTTGGAGTTCTCTCCAAGGGAAATGTACCGTGCAAAGTCTCAGCATTTAATTAAAAAGGGACTGAATCCTTAGACACTAGATTTATATGAATCAAATTACTTCTTTAATCTGTTGATGTTCTGATATACCTCATTTTTGTCCTACACTGTAGGTCACTGTCAAATTCCAAATTCCTCCAACGTGTGAAGTATCACATCTAATTGTGGATCTTGTGTCACATTTAGGACTGAAAGCTGATGAGCATGGTAGTGGTTCAGATATGATTTTGCGTGCTTGGGACAGGTTGTTGAAAAGCCTCAGTTTTGGTGCCTTTTTAATTTTGATAATAGAAAACGTCTTGTTTTCTTATGAGTAGTTGAAGAAATTTATTGATTTATAATTGTGAAAATGTAGAAAGGCTTGTAGCCAAAATGATGACCTTGCAGTTTGCCACCCTCTTCATCCTAAACATATTGCTGATTGGAAATGAGGTCTTTATAATTGAGAATTTTGAAATCATCAAGAACCAAATTGCAATCTATAAAAAAACCCAACATCTGAAAATATGCACACCAAACATTTCTTGCAGCTATACAAAATTCTTTTGTTTCTTTCTTTTTATATAGAAAATAGCATAGAGAACCATCAGGCATGGATCAATCCATTATTTCCCAAGAACTAAAAGGGCAAGAAAAATGACATTTTTTTTAATTGGTAAATAATCCTGATCAGTTATGGACAAATGCCTTAGAAACAAGAGGTTTGAAAATAAGTGGGACTAGAATAGAATGTATGACATGTAAATTTAATAATAACAGGAGTACAAACCAAGGTCACTTCGGATTGGAGACCTAGAGATGACTCAATGTGACCTTTTCTGGTACCTTGGTTTGACAATTCAAAAAAAGGGAGAGATTGAAGAGGATGTTGCTCCTAGAATTTGAGTCAGACGGGAAAAATGGAGGGGTGCATCCAGAATCTTATGTGATAGGCAAATGCTAAGATTAAAAGGAAAATTCTATAAAACAGCTGTAAGGCCAATTATTGCTGTATTGAGCAGAGTGCTGGGTGGTCAAGAAACAACATATCTAGAAACTGAGTTGCAGAAATGTGTAGGCTGAGATGGATGAGTGTGGAAAAAACTAAAAAGGCTTATTGATAAAAAAAAAAAAAAACTAAAAAGGCTATGGTCAGAAATAGAGTCATTGAAAGGAACCTTGGGGTAATAGGTGATAAAATGAGAGAAAGTGAAAGAAAAAGATGGTTTCGTCACGTGTATAGAGGACCATTGACAGCATCTGTAAGAAGTTATCTGTTGCAATTTGAAGGGGCTAAAAGGGCTAGGGGTAAACCAAAATGGACATGGGTCAAAGTAGTAAGAAATGATTTAAGTGTTCATAATTTAACAATGGATATGACAATGAAAGAAATAATCAGGAATAAGTTAACTACAGAAAGAATGGGAGTCATCAAATACTCCAACTGCAACATGAGTGTTAACCCCTGTCCTACACTCCTCCAGGATATAGAGACCTCAAAAATACAATAAACAGTTCTAATTGGCAAGATGTGCCAACTTCTTCCTCAGCACAAGTTCTATTTACTAATCTAATCGTTCAATTAAATGAATTCATACTAGCATCTAATATCTGGGTCTTCCTCTGGGAGCTAAATGCACCTCATCATTGGTTTGCGACCCAGTCTTGGAGTGCCTGGAAAGAAGCTCACCTCTTGGAAAGCCAAATATCTATCCCTGGGAGGTAGAATGACCCTCTTAAAAAAGTTCCCTTTCTAACTTGCCTTCTTTCAAAGGGATTTTCTGTGGAAAGGGTGGGAGGAGGAAAAAAAAGATTCATTTGGTCAGGAGAATGAAGATGTTTAATAACATTCTGTTGGGTAAATGGATTTGGAGATTCGAGAAGGAAAGAGGAAGTTGGTGGAGAAACTTAATTGCAGCCAAATACAATACAGATAGAGGTGACTGGTTAACCATCTCATCTTTGCCCTCCTTGGGTTGCTCAATATGGAGGAAAACCATGGACACTCTTCCAATATTCAGCAGAGGGTTAAGTCCTAAACTGGGCAATAGTCAAAGGCTGACTTTTTGGAAAGATCCGTCGTGTAGCAGCAGGCCTTTATCAAACTATTTCCACAATTATATCAGATTGCTGATAACCAGAATGCTGCTGTGGCTGATTGTATGAAGTAAGTGGCAGCTCTGTTTCCTGGTGCCCTTCCTTCTGAAGACACTACCAGGATTGGGAAATTGACAAGGTTGCGGAGCTGCTCTCTCTTCAGACCTTGGACCTGAGTATCGAAAGATAGTTGGAGCTGGATTTGGATTGCAGATGGCCTTTTTTCAGTCAAATCCTTTGTCCTTGAGCTTTCAGAAAGAAACTTAGCTGATGTGCCTGCCTCCAAAATTTGGAATCTGATTTCCCCCTCAAAAGTCAATGCTCTGGTCTGGGCAGCTGTGCTGGACAGGTGTTTAGCTAAAGTTAACCTGGCTAAAAGAGGGGTGCAGGTCCAGGATCAGTTATGTGTGCTTTGTGGTCAAGCTTGCGAGGACAATAATCACCTGGTCCTCCATTGCCCTGTGTCTTCCTCTATTTGTGGCACTATTTCTCAGCCCTGGGGTTAGCTTGGGTCATGCCTGAAAAGTGTTGGAGATGCTGTGGTGTTGAGAACTTCAAGGTCTTTCAAATCTTGCAAGTAGTGTGTGGATGTCTATTCGGGATGCAGTGATAAGCACCATTTGGTCTTGTTAGTGTTCGGTCTGCCTGTTAGACTGATAACAGTCAAGGAAGAGAGAGAGAAGAGAGGAGAGAAAGAGAGAAAGAGAGAAAGAGAGAAAGAGAGAAAGAGCAGAAGAGAAACAAGGAGAAAAGATTCTGGTTCGAATGAGAGAAAAAGCACTCTCTCATTCGGCCAGATGTATTTTATATTACTAAAATAATGTGTAAAAGTCACATATGCCCCTACTTAAGTTAGGGACATTAAATCTAACACAAACTTACACATCAGCACCTAAACACAAGCACAAAGATAGAAATACCCCTACATACTCGATACTAACACTCCCTCTCAAGCTGGAGAGTATGTATCATATAATCTCAGCTTGTTACATATGAAGTCCACTCTCCCCCGACTCAACCCTTTAGTAAACAAATCTGTCCACTGGTTCCCTGTGTTGACATATGCAGTGTCTATCACTCCACTCAACACCTTCTCTCTAACAAAGTGACAACCAACCTCTATGTGTTTGATTCTCTCATGAAACACTGGATTAGAGGAAATGTGAACTGTAGCCTGATTGTCACAGTAGAGCTTCATTGGAGTATCAACAGTGTATCCCATTTCCTGTGGAAGGTTCCTTAGCCGCACTAATTCACAAGTAGTATGTGCCAAGCTCTATATTCTGCCTCTGCATTGCTTCTTGCCACAACCGTCTGCTTCTTGCTTTTCGATGTCACCAGATTACCCCCAAGAAAAGTGCAATAGCCTGTAGTAGATCTCCTATCAGATACAGAATCGGCCCAATCAGCATCAGTATATCCTTCTATTTCAAGTTTTTCACCACTTTTGTATATCAAACCGTGACCAGGAGCCCCCTTTAAATACCTCACAATCTTTATAACTGCATCCCAATGTGGAACCAGAGGTTTCTGCATGAACTGACTTACCACACTAACTGCGAATGAAATGTCTGGCTGAGTGATGGTTACGTAGTTCAGTTTACCTACCAGCCGCTGGTATCTGCCAGGGTCTTCAAACACTTCACCCATATCACTGCCCAGCTTAGTGTTTGTTTCCATAGGAGTTTCAGTTGGTTTAGCACCTAACAAACCTGTTTCTTCAAGCAAATCAAGAACATATTTCCTCTGACACAAGTTAATACCATGCTTGGACCTTGCTATTTCTATCCCCAAGAAATACTTCAATTTACCAAGGTCCTTTGTTTGAAAATGTTCCTGCAAAAAGATCTTCAACCTGTCAATGCCCATTTTATCATTCCCGGTAATGACAATATCATCTACATACACCACTAATAGGATCTTCCCTGCCTAAGAGTCATGACTGAAGACAGAATGGTCAACTTGGCACTGTTTCATACCAAACTTCTTTACTACCTCACTAAATCTGCCAAACCATGCTCAAGGAGACTGTTTAAGCCCATAAATGACCTTCAGTAGTCGGCACACTTTACCATCCTCCCTTGAGCAACAAACCCCGATGGTTGCTCCATATAGACCTCCTCGAGCATATCACCATGCAAGAAGGCATTCTTGATATCAAGCTGATAGAGGGACCAATCATACATCACAGCAAGAGAAATCACAACATGGACTGAACCGATCTTAGTAACTAGGGAGAAAGCCTCTGTGTAATCAATACCATAGGTTTGAGAATACCCTTTGGCAACCAATCTAGCTTTCAGCTGCTCTACACTAGCATTAGGTAAGTACTTAACTGCATAAACCCACTTACAACCAACGACCTGCTTACTAGGAGGAAAAGTGGTGAGTTCCCATGTATGATTATGAGCCAGAGTTGAGAGTTCTTCCATCGCACGACACCATCCTGGAGAGGCAAGGGCTTCCTGGACATCCTTAGGTATAACAACAGAGGATACAAAGAGATAAACTGGCGATGGGAAGTGGAAAGGTGAGTCAGTGAAACATAATTAGAAATAGGATGAAGGGTACAATTGCGCTTACCTTTCCGCAAGGCAATGGGAAGATCAAGATCAGATACTGGGGTCAGGGCTGGTGTGGTAACAGCTGCCGGATCTGTTGACGATGATGAAGCTGGAGGAGGAGCCGGTACACGTGGGCGATGTGTATACACATGATGGATCGGTGGTCGTTCAATAGGGGGTGGCACCAGAGGCAAAGACTTGGTCACTGTGGGAACAAGGGGAACAGAGTCCACAACTGGAAGAGGAAGGGGAGGAGGTGATGAGGAGGAAGAAACATCATCGGATCCTAAGAAGAATGGAGTAGACTCAAAGAAAGTAACATCAGCACATACAAAGGAACGTCGAGAGTTAGGGTGATAACACTTATACCCTTTCTGAGTCCGAGAATAGCCAAGGAAGATGCACTTAATAGACCGTGCATCTAACTTGTCCATTCCTGGCCCTGGATTATGAACAAAGCAAACACATTTAAAAACCCAAGGAGAGAGAGGAAACAGAGACAAGGTAGGAAACAATGTGGTAAATGGGGAATGATCATCAAGGATAGACGTGGGCATCCGGTTAACCAAGAAGTAGGAAGTAGGCACTGCATCACTCCAAAGGA